CTGTAGAAATATTCAACTATTGTATGTTACAGATAGCACGCATTAACCAAAATAATAGGTGATCGAATCAAAAGGAAACGAAATAGCTGCAGAACCAGGCAGTGATATGAAGAATACGAAAACCAACAGTTATGGTACGTTCTTCCATTCTGTATTTCTCCTCTCAATTAAATTCGACTAGAACACTGTGAGAAAATTGTTGGAAATCAAAAATTAGTAAACAGACAATTAAAAAATGGCAATTCTTGACGAAAATCAAGCATTGCTCAATAGACTCTATTTTTAGATCTATTGAAAGGTTTCATGAAATCAAAGCCATTAGTTCCCCTTCTATCTTCCCTAAACAATTTATAGGGTCAGAGTAAGTAGGTTGCCTTTGCAATTCTATTCAGTCCACTGCCCAGGGACGGTTCACGTCCTCGCGGGCAATATTTATTTGCGGGAAAGACAATGATATCATTAGCGAGACGCTCGCACTTCACGCATAAGAATCGCATCGCGCGTCGTCCGTCGATGAAACTCATCGTAGGAAGCCTTTGATCTAGAATGACTACCAATATGTGTCGACCTTTCCAGTTGCCGAACAAGGCAGCTGGAGTTGCACGTCGGGTGATCGAAGGCTGCTTTTCACCGTCTCGAGGTTACCATACATTTTACGGCTCATGTGAACCCGTCGATCCGATTTTTTTATTCGAAACAGGTTTCTTTCTGCTATACTTAAACGTAATAATGGTTAAAACGGTATGAACGCATTATCTTGGAATCTTGCTTCGGCTTTATCGAGAAATCCATTTCGGGCCGAGGCGTGCCGTGACGAGCTGAAAAACATTACTTCATAACTGGGAAACGCGAACCGAGGCATTCTTATACCTATAGCTAGCTTGCCATTACCTCAGTATAATTATATGTTGAACAGTGTACTGGAGAAAGGAGCAATTCTACGGAAACGTATGAAAGATGAAATGTAATAAAAAAAATTCAGTGATACATGTCTGTAATTAGTAGTATAATCACAAGTCGTACTGTGTAGTAATAATAGTAGCATAAAAAATAATATTGTTACTGTTCAATATATATTTTCCTCAATTCCATGTACTTTAAATAATTAGTTTCCATTGGGAAACATAATGTCAATTATAGAATGGATAATGAGTATTTATACGTACCAGAGGTAATAATCAATTAT